TATATGAGTGAAATATTCTCAAATGGGATATAAAATATCACAATCAATCAATCTAAAAAAGATGTTAAGAAGGTGAACCAGCTGGGTTATTGGTGTCCTGATGAACTAGGCTCCACTGTTTATATATAGTGTATGGGTATTGACATTTTGAACTAACTTTACTTTTACATTTTGATTTAGACAGTAGAGTTGTACAAATATTAATACATCTTTTTTAAAGCATTAAAATTTTATGTCAGACTTTGTTTGCTTACTGCTTGAATTTAAACAAGTCATACAGAGCATATAAATTGAAATTTTAAATTTTGTTTAAAGAAATGAATATGTAATGACATTTCAGGATCTATTGTATTTTGAACAGGCTGATAGCATGCATTTAAATAGGGCCCCAAACAATCGGCAGTAAAAGGGACAACTCCCTCATCAACACCCTGGTCTGATTCAGTTTAATTTATTGACGTCACCATGTTAGTATAAAGTCCAAATAACAATTCAAATGATGGAGAACAGTATAAGGAAAAAATATTTTAACAAAGTACATGTAGCTACAGCATGCAGGACAATTTTACATTGTTCTTTATAGTCCATGGATTTGCTTTCTTGACCTGCACGAAGCATCTATTGAAATAGTTACATAAATGTTTTGTAGTATAAGCACATATGGTAAATATTTCCATTTCTAATTTTTTTCTAATGCGTCCGGCGTCCGTCCGTCTGTCTGTCTGTCTGTCCGTCTGTCTGTAAACAATTTTTCCAAACGCTACTTCTCCTACAGTTTTGGTCTGATTTCAATATAACTTGGCACACAAGTAGACTACACTAAGATACATAGAATAGTGCATCAGTTTTTAAATTCGATGAACGGTGTTGCCATGGTTACTAAAAATAGAATTTTCTGTGAAATTCCTTTAAAACGCTACTCATTCTACAGTTTTGGTCTGATTTCAATATAACTTGGCACACAAGTAGACTACACAAAGATACATATAATAGAGCATCGGTGTTAAACAGTGTTGCCATGGTTAATAAAAATAGAATTTTCTGTGAAATTCCTTTAAAACACTACTCCTTCTACAGTTTTGGTCTGATTTCAATATAACTTGGCACTCAAGTAGACTACACTAAGATACATAGAATAGTGCATTGGTTTTTGATTTCGATGAACGGTGTTGCCTTGGTTACTAAAAATAGAATTTTCTGTGAAATTCCTTTAAAACGCTACTCCTTCTACAGTTTTGGTCTGATTTCAATATTATAACTTGGCACACAAGTAGACTACACTAAGATACATAGAATAGTGCATCGGTTTTTGATTTCGATGAACGGTGTTGCCATGGATACTTAAAATAGAATTTTCTGTGAAATTCCTTTAAAACGCTACTCCTACAGTTTTGGTCTAATTTCAATATAACTTGGCACACAAGTAGACTACACTTGTGTTTTTGATTTAAATGTTGCCATGGTTACTAAATTTTTCTCTGAAATTCCTTTAAAACGCTACAGTTTTTTTGATTTCAAAATAAGTTGGCACACAAGTAGACTACACAAAGATACATAAAATAGTGCAATGGTTTTTGATAAGTACAAAGCAGTAGAGCTACAGTCTCGACAGAGACTTCTGGTTTTCTCTAAGATAAGTCTTTGAAAGTTAGCGGAGTTGATTTCTCGATAATTCAGACTACCGGAATGTAACTTAGGCAGGTCGATAGGTCAGGAGCTAAGGAGGCCTAATATGCATGCAAATCTCGTGCGCATCTGTCTCTGTGTCTGATGCTGAGGAGGCCAAATATGCATGTAAATTTCGTGCGACTGCCTTTGTGTTTGACGTCAGTGGGTGAGGACTATTGGAATTGGCATGAGAGTCCTTGTGTTATTTAAATCTATGTCTACATTTTTAGCTCACCTGAGCCGAAGGCTCAAGTGAGCTTTTCTGATCACATTTTGTCCGTCGTCCGTCCGTCTGTCCGTCCGTCTGTCTGTCTGTCCGTCTGTAAACTTTTCACATTTTTCTTCCCACTGGGCCAATTTTGACCAAACTTGGTACAAAGCATCCTTGGGTAAAGGGGAATTTAAATTGTTAAAATGAAGGGACATATCCCCTCGCAAGGGGAGATAATCAAGAAAAGACAAAAATAGGGTGGGGTCATTAAAAAATCTTCTTCTCAAGAACCACTGGGCCAGTAAAGCTGAAACTTATGTGGAAGCATCCTGGGGTAGTGTAGATTCTAAATTGTTCAAATCGTGACCCCCGGGGATGGGCGGGGCCACAATGGGGAATCAAAGTTTTATATAGAAATATATAGGAAAAATCTTTGAAAATCTTCTTCTCAAGAACCACTGGGCCAGAAAAGCTGAAACTTATGTGGAAGCATCCTGGTATAGTGTAGATTCTAAATTGTTCAAATCATGACCCCCGGGGGAAGGGCGGGGCCACAATGGGGAATCAAAGTTTTACATAGAAATATATAGGAAAAATCTTTGAAAATCTTCTTCTCAAGAACCACTGGACCAGAAAAGCTGAAACTTATGTGGAAGCATCCTGGTATACATGTAATGTAGATTCTAAATTGTTCAAATAATGACCCCCTGGGGATGGGTGGGGCAACAATGGGGAATCGAATTTTAATATAGAAATATATAGGAAAAATCTTTGAAAATCTTCTTCTCAAGAATCACTGGGCCAGTGTAAACTTATGTGGAAGCACCTTTGGCGGTAGTGTAGATTATAAAGTACAACGCATAAATGTCTTGCACATGCATATACTCAAAGTTTTACAAGAAATATATAGGAAAAATCTTTGAAAATCTTCTTCTCAATGGGCCAAGCTGAAACTTATGTGGAAGCATTCTGGTATAAATATGACCCCCAAATATAAAGTTTTACATAGAAATTGTAGGAAAAATCTTTGAATATCTTCTTCTCAAGAACCACTGGGCCAGAAAAGCTGAAACTTATGTGGAAGCATCCTTGGGTAGTGTAGATTCTAAATTGTTTTTTACGTTTTACATAGAAATATATAGGAAAAATCTTTGAAAATCTTCTTCTCAAGAACCACTGGGCCAATTTTTCATTCTGGTATTGTGTAGATTCTAAATTGTTCATGCCACCCACAATTATCAAAGTTTTACATAGAAATATATGTCTTTGAAAATCTTCTTCTCAAGAATCACTGGGCCAAATGAAACTTATGTGGAAGCATCTTGAGGTAGTGTAGATTCTAAATTGTTCAAATCGTATTGGGGCCACAATGGGGAATCAAAGTTTTATATAGAAATATATAGGAAAAATCTTTGAAAATCTTCTTCTCAAGAACCACTTGAAACTTATGTGGAAGCATCCTGGTAAGTGTAGATTCTTGTTCAAATGTGACCCCCAGGGGAAGGGCATCTTTTACATAGAAATATATAGGAAAAATCTTTGAAAATCTTCTTCTTTGGAACCACTGGGCCAGAAAAGCTTGGTTTATATGTGTAATTCTAAATTGTTCAAATAATGACCCCAGGGGGAAGGGCGGGGCCACAATCTTTTATATAGAAATATATAGGAAAAATCCTTCTCAAGAACATCTCACAGAAATGGGATCTTGAAAATCCTGCAATGTAAGGATGGAAGGCTCTTTGTACAAAATGTCTATGATCAGTGGGGTAGGGTGGGGATGCATTATGTATAACAAGGGTAAAATCTGGTAAAGAACAGAATGGTCAAAGCTTCTCAGGTGAGCGATGTGGCCCATGGGCCTCTTGTTAAAGTCTAAACCTACAATTTTATTTCACAATGAAATGGAAATATAAGGAATCACTGCCTAATAAGTATTGTATTTATGCATAATGGTCTTCACCCATTATGCAAATTATCCCATGTTTCCCACTATCGTTGATGCCCTGGCATACTATACTAACTAGACAGTGATTAAACAATAACTTTAATAGATATACAATGTTACTGTAAACGTATTACATTTGGCTGTGTATTCTTTTTAGCACCTTTGGCGGATAGAAACTTCTGCTTATTAAAGTACAACGCTAAATGTCTTGCACATGCATATACTCGTAAATAAGAACATTAAAGAATGTTCTAAATCAAATCTCTGCTAACTTGTTCAAAATCAATTTTCGCCAAATATTGTACACGCCAAATATAATACATTTACAGTATCTAGATATAGAAATGTTTATTTGTTTGTTTTTTAACGTCCCTCTTGAGAATTTTTCACTTATATGGAGATGCCACCACTTGCTGGTCAAGAGCTGCAAATTTGGACCTATATTACATTCAGGGCCATTGAGCAGTGAAGGATCTTTTTGTGCCAGCATCTTTTGCAACATGGGACCTTGGTTTATATGGTAATGTCTCCTCCACATCTCACAGTGGGATTTGAACCTGCAATGTAAGGATAGGCTCTTTACTTCATGACTCTAAAGCAGACATTTATGTACATGTTTATAAGAGTACATGTATATGCAGATAAAGCAGAAAGCTATGGATGCAAGCATTGAAAAACCTTCAAATTAGACCACCATTTTTTGGTCCCTCACTTCAAGTATTTTTTCTTTATGCATTCCTCTCTTTAAGACAGTTTGGAAGAGTGGAAATTCTGCATCCTGTTGAATGTTGAAATATTATTGGTACACTACAGACCAGTCCCCCTGCCTCTTTTATATTGTATTTTCTTTTGATTTTGAAGTTTAGAAACTATTAAAATCATGCATATTATCTCTTCAGTGAATTAGATTGCACAACCATTCACAGGACAACTCCATGCTGTGATGTTTGATTTTGGGATTAAATTCTGTTTGATATATTTATTCAAATTTACTGTTACAGCATATTTAGAAGTGATCTTGTTTATAATTTGTCATGCTATGGATAACTGCATTACTGTAAAATCTTGTTTCCAGGTTTGGATAAAACAAATGGGAATTTTATGTATAGTCTTCTTATATTTATATTTACATGCACATTGCAATAATTTAATTCAATATAATCATATTTTTTTCAGGGTCAGCAGAATGTTTTATTGTATGGTTTCCACAGGTCAAAGTCAGACTTAGATGTCCACAGCAATTTTTCATCAGAATCTTTAACTACACAATTTCTCAGGGAGGTATGCATATTTATAAAAAAAAATTCTCAATTTAATTAATATCCATAGATTTTTACAAATAAAGAATTTTTGTCTTAACTTTCTTAATGATAGCAAACACTATTTTCGTTCAATTTTAAGTGGTTTCCCATCGATGATGATGTATGAAATGATTATATAGTGATGTCATTTCATTGACAGAAATTCTAAAAAAAAACTGAGAAGGAACTAATTTAAAAAAATAGTTGTACATGCTACATATGAATCATGAAAATTAATGTAAATGTTGCATGATTAAAAAAAAAAAGAGATCTTATATTTTTATCCTTGTTCATCATAGAGATCTCAAGTGTTCCTTACCCACACCCCATCAGAGACACCCCAGGGGCGAAAAACTGCCCTGGGTCATCATCCGGTCAGTAGAGAGGAGGTCTCCATAGCCAAGACCACCGTGCCAAAGAAGGGGCTCATCAAACTGACCGCTCTGGATAATGAACGACAGAATCCCCTCCTCTTTGAGAAAAAAGAAAAGGAGGGTAGGTTAAATTAGTGTAATGTTTGAAGGCTGGGGTTTTGAATGTCAATTCTGTAGCTGCATATAGAAACTCAATTAAGGGGAAAAAAAAATCTTTGAACATCCAGTTGAGAATACCGGTAAGCATCAACGGATATGGTAAAGGTATGTCCACGAAAAAGGAACTGATCTGCCACAAATAGCTTAATATTTAGTTAGACGTCTATCTTGTCTATTATTGCTAAATTGGATATTTACAAACACATTAGAAATACTTTTCAACCTGATGAAAGAAGTATGTGTCATGTAGATTTTTAACATGTTTCATGAAGTTAGTGATGGTTTTTGGCTAACAAAAGCTGTCAAATATATATGAATGAATGCAACTATATGTATGTATGATACACTTTATGAAATAGAAAAATAATTGACCAATACAGTTTTCTAAAGACTTCAGATGTAAGTGGTACAAATACAATGCGATGCAATGAATTGTGCTAAAAAATATTAAAATATTTTTGTAGTATTACTGTTTGATTTATAGACAGTGTTTACAAATTGATGCTTTATATTTACAGTTTTACCGATGGAAGCTGTTCGAGAACAACAAAGGAAACAACAGAAGTATGAGAAGCAGAGAAAAATGTTGATCCGACGCAAAGACATAATGAACCAGGTCAACATAGGCAGTCTTCACTTGGCGGAGGAGAAAGAAAAACATGATCTGGAAATGCAGATAGAAAACTACACATTGGGAGATCTCCATCGTAACATTAATGAACTCACTGTATGTATAAACTACATAGGATCTCCATCGTAACATTAATGAACTCACTGTACGTATAAACTACATAGGATCTCCACCTCAATATTAATGAACTCACTGTACATATGAACTACATAAGATCTCCACCTCAATATTAATGAACTCACTGTACATATAAACTACATAGGATCTCCACCTCAATATTAATGAACTCACTGTACATATAAACTACATAGGATCTCCACCTCAATATTAATGAACTCACTGTACATATAAACTACATAGGATCTCCACCTCAATATTAATGAACTTAATGAACTCACTGTACTCACTGTACATATGAACTACATAGGATCTCCACCTCAATATTAATGAACTCACTATACATATAAACTACATAGGATCTCCACCTCAGAATTAATGAACTCACTGTACATATGAACTACATAGGGATCTCCACCTCAATATTAATGAACTCACTGTACGTATAAACTACATAGGATCTCCACCTCAATATTAATGAACTCACTGTACATATGAACTACATAGGGATCTCCACCTCAATATTAATGAACTCACTGTACATATAAACTACATAGGATCTCCACCTCAATATTAATGAACTCACTGTACATATAAACTACATAGGGATCTCCACCTCAATATTAATGAACTCACTGTACATATAAACTACATAGGGATCTCCACCTCAATATTAATGAACTCACTGTACATATAAACTACATAGGATCTCCACCTCAATATTAATGAACTCACTGTACATATGAACTACATAGGATCTCCACCTCAACATTAATGAACTCACTGTACGTATAAACTACATAGGGATCTCCACCTCAATATTAATGAACTCACTGTACATATAAACTACATAGGGATCTCCACCTCAATATTAATGAACTCACTGTACATATAAACTACATAGGAAATCCCAGAATTTTAAAGGTTCTCAACCCCCACCCACCCACCCCAAAAATTAGCCATTAAACTAAGCAACCTGATGGTCCTGGAGTATGAAACCCTTAGCTATGTGGGCCAGGTTAAATTTTACTGTTTTTGTGTCATGTACAGACTGACAAATTCATATCCTGAGACTTTGATGAATTGTAAAAAAAAAATTGCAGCCTTCAATATGCTTTATCTTCATACAGCTATAAAATAAAATCATTAGGGCCATATTTCTCCTCAAACCATTAATGTTTGATGTACAGTAAAGAAAAAGTTGAGTCTTAATTCAAGATGGTGGGGTGGGGGGTTAGAAATTACAATGTACACATACATATTTGAAATTCTCATTTTGTCTTCAAACGTATATAAGTCTGGAAGAGTAAAAACATTAGCTAGAATTGAAAACTTTATTTTAAAATATTGAAGATCAATTAACAACTGGACAACAAAATACAACATTCACAAACAATCGCCAGACTCAAGGGGAGTAACTCCCATAATTATTATTGCAAGCACTGAGTTGTACGTTCTATATATCCAACATTTAAAGCTGGTACAATGAGAAGGAAAACATCCTCTAAATTTACAACTTGTACAGCATCAATATACAATATTGAAGATAATATCTGTATATTAGTATTACAAATATTCAAATTAACACAATAAAATCTCCAGCATAGATTTCAACAAAGCCCCTGAACTGATAGGTATAGGAGTTAAGCTGATTTCTGTTCTAACAACTGCTTTGTTTTACACATGGAAATGGAGGAAAATAGGAAAGTGCATAGCACAGACACTATGAATTAAATGGTTATTTATTCACTTATTATTTTTTTTTATATAATCCTAGTTGCTAACTCTTATTTATTCATTTTTATATTAAATATTTTTTTTACACAGCTGTGACTGTCATTCTATTTACTTCCATTCACCTTTTCAACTCATAGCAGTAAACATCAAGCTCAGGGACTAATCAGCAGTAGAAAACTTATTTTTAATAAGTGACAGAATATTGTGTTGAAGACTCAAATGGATTTATTGCCTACATGATTTCAAGACAGAATTTCCCGACTTTATGCATGATTATAAACGGAATTAAAATCTTGTTGTATTAATTTTAATATTATTAATTATTACTACAGAATAACTTTGAATTTTAACATTGTGGCATTCTGTCCATTTATTACCAAGTTAGAGCCTGAATATAAATTCACTTTATATATGTGGATGAGCATTGCAAAGGGAGGTAATAATGATGTAAATTCTGAAGATTTTGGGTGAAAAAAGTTCATCCTGTTGTTTTGAGAAGGGTTTAAATTAGCTTTAATTTTTCATTGATTTTTTTTTATGTACCAGAAGCCAGTGTGAGCATGTCATTTGTATACTGGGGAAGTTGTAATCTATTGCACATATACAGAACATTTGTGTTTCCCTTTAACCAAAGTTCACGGCATCTATGAACACACACTGCCTGAAGGGACTCGGGAGAATTGATTTGTCTTTTTTCTTGGGTCACTTTTTCAACATACGAGATCAGCTGGCACAAGTCCGACAAAAGACTCATCAGCTCTTTGGAGTTGGAGTTTCCCTGGCCAAGAAAGTTAGATTCCAATCGCCTGAGTTTCTCTAGCACTGTGGGTTTTAATCTGAATCCGAATGCTCTCACTACCATCCTCATGCAAGTCAGACTGTTACTGGCTTGTTGGAGAATTTGTTCATTCAATGTAATAGATCGTATTCCTGTACTCCACACAATCTTTAGGCAGTAGTCCACATAGGAGGTGGAAAACGCCTCATTTTCCACAGATTTTCCACACATGATGAGTCTTTCTGTGGCCTTGACATTAAACTTGCATATGGCGACATGTAGGGGTGTGATGCCGTATTTGTCCATTGTGTTGATTTCGCAATTTTTCTTCAAGAGAAAATCAATGATTTCGGTATGATTTCCCACTATGGCATAATGAAGTGCTGATTTTCCAGAGGAGTTTGTTTGATTGATACTGGCACCATTTTGGACTAGTAATTCAAGCAGTTCTAAGTTTCCGTAGCTGCAGCAAATGATGACTGGGGAAAGTCCATTGGAGTCGCAAATGTTTACATCGGCATTTTGAGCAATGAGGACTTTTGCTAACTTATACCTGAAAGCTACAAGAGCTCCAATAAGGGGCGTTCTCCCCCAAACATTTTTCACATTGATATCAATTTTGTTTGCGAGTAGCACCTTGCAGCAGTCAATTGTATTGTTTGTAGTCTTAGAATTTGAACACAAATGTAACAAAGAGTCCCGGCTTCCATTTTCTTTGATATGTACGTTACAATTTTCCTCCTCGAGTAGAAACTTTAAAAATTTCACCCGCCCATACTGTATAATAAGCGAGATGAGACTGACTAACATTTCATTGTCCACATTTCGACTGTTGCGGTTATAAATGGCCTTGAACCAGTAAAAGTCGCCATTACGTATGGATTCCACTGCCTCATATTGTTCATTGCTCTCAGCTGGGTTTGCACTCGAGTTCATTGCCGAAAAAATGGCTCCCATCTAAAATGACAAGATTTTTATTTGAAGTTCATTTTGTAAAAAAAAAATTTTTGAGGCCTATACATATTTATGAAAATCATCTTGTTATTTTTGCATCCTAAATATTTACTTATTTAGGAGTACTGGTACATGTAGCTACTGACTGAAAGGTAAAATTTGCAAAATTTTTTAAGAAAAAGTAATAAATTTTGATCATGATAATACTCTGAAGATTGCTAGAAACCAGAAGATATGGTACAAGGTGGGGAAAAAAATTATATTAAACATAAAAAAAATAAAAAATAAAGACTTGATGAAGTGATATGTAAATTTGATATACCGGTACGGTAATTTACTGTTTCATTTCTTGCCTCACAACAATCAGATATATAATGCATTAATACATTCCATTTTTGATCCCTTTTTTGTCACAAACTACTTACATAATTAGAAATATCTGTTAACACTGTTACATTTTCTCCAGAGTTTTTGATGTCTTTAATTCCACAAAAATACTATACTGTGCATAAGAAAAAAAATTACTCCTCCTCAAAATTTATAGATATACCCAAACAACATCAGTAATTACCAATATCCTGTAAAGAACATAAAAGTTATGAGTTATTCATTCCAGTTGTATGAACTGTAGTGATTTCTCAGTTCTTGCATCTTATATAATTAATATCTGTCTCATTTAGAGATCATTGACATTGAAGAGGCGATTCTTTGTTTTCTAAAAACTTTTAAGTTCACTGGCCCCATAGGCCACAATGCTCATCTACATTTTTTTTTCAGAAAAAGAAATGTTTTCATTACCTGGTATTCATATGAAAAAGTTAGACAGACATGTTGGTCTCAACTTAGCCCCAAGGCAATTTAAATCAAACCGACTTCAATCCACCTGACTCCTACATGGCCTTATTGTTCAAGACAAGACTTCCAAGAACTTTTTTTCATATTCATGTTTTTGAGGTACGAAGAGAGCCACAAATTTTTGTCCACCACAAATATAATTTATCTACCATTAATACTCAACCATTTTTCATCCAAGGAATCAAACCCCCAGTCCTATGAACCAATATAATGTATTTTCCTCAATTAAACCAAAAAAATTTGACCCCTGGTAAATATGTACTATCATAGAAATTGAATCTTTCACATGGATTTCATCTTTTGTGGCCTAATTTTGTTTCAAAATTGTTTCTTGATTATCTCCTCTTCAAAAGGCAGTTATTCTTTTTGCCAATTTAAGATCAGTTAAAAATTGGTTCACTGATTCTGGAGAAAAAAAGGAGTAAAAATTGAAAATTAACAGATAGATGGATGGATGAGAAACTTTAATCAGAAACCAGAAGTCTCTGTCGAGACTGTAGCTCTACTGGTTTGTACTTATAACAAAGGAAGAGAAAAGTAACAGTTGAGACTTGAAACTTTACATCAGCAATAAATAGAATAATGATCCTTGATTAAGTATCTTTTTGTGGCAAGATTGCAATAAGACTACAACTATACGAGTAGCTTTTAATTAAAATGATGGTATCTCATTGTAGTCTATGTGCATGCCACATTAAATTATAATCAAATCAAAACTGTATTTGGAGAAATTTTATTTTAGTATTTCAAAGATATTTCTATTTTTTGTAACCAGGGCAACAACTTTCATCGAAATCAAAAACCGATATACAGAATTATGTATCTTAGTGTAGTCTACTTGTGTGCAAAGTTATATTAAAATCAGAACAAAACTGTAGGAGGAGTAGCATTTTGAAAGTATTTCACGGAAATTTATATCTTTAGTAACCATGGCAACACCGTTCATTGAAATTAAAAACCAATAAATATAATTATGTACCTTAGTATAGTCTACCTGTATGCCAAGTTATATTCAAATAAAAATAAAACTGTAGGAAGAGTAGCATTTTGAAATATTGTTTACAGACAGACAGACGGACGCATTACTATCATATAAGTTCTTCTGGTCTCTGACCAGTGGAGCTAAAAAATCACTTGGGCCTTTAATTGGCTCAGATGAGCTAAATATTATCAGTACATTATTGAAAAAACCAAGACAGCTAACCATGATCAAAGTGTTAATTACCTGATCATGATTATTATGTAAAAAAAAACTTGTGTGTTTGAAAGTACATGCATTGTTATATATATATATATATATATATATATATATATATATATATTTTTAAATTAAATTCTTGAATGCCAAATTCATGTACATGTAACACAAATTCATTGCAAGTCTAATGTACTTGAGGAATGTATTGGAAAGTTCAATCCTTGAATGCCAAATTAATGTAACACAAATTCACTGCAAGTCTAATGTTGAGGAATGGATTTGAAAGTTTAAATATATATCCTTAAATAATTGTTTTGAGAAAATCCTCAGCTGAATCCATGCAAACACTCGCTTCATAGCCATCAGAAAAGGGGGGGGGGGTGTTAGACTTTTTTTTGGCAAAGATAGACATTATATAAGCATCGAAAATTGGGGTTAACCTTTTTTTTTATGGTCTAGCCCTCCCACTTTCAATTAACACCCCCTCCCCCCCACTTTCAATTTGCTTCTGACACCTATGTGCTTAACACTACTCCTGGGCTACTTGAGCAGGATTTGAAAATTGAATATTCTGTTAAAATAAATTGTACTTGCATGAATGTGATGATTTACATGTACTTCTGATTGAAATATTATGTTGACAATGTGTTTCCTCTGCTTCTGTTTCAGAGACAGTGCCTTAGAGTTTAAATTTATATGTTTATCACGTATATAATCTCTTCATTTGTTTTTACTTGCAGAGCACAATAAGGCAACCATCTACAGATAATGTGAAGAGAGGGGGCAACAGAATGTCCAATACAAAGTCTCTTACCCCCCAGCCAAGAGGACTGGCCCTCCCGGCTATTAACACCATAAACCTGTTCTAGTGGGAGGTCCCATGGGAACAACCATGGCTTTCAAATGTGCAATTCACATATCTGATGACTAAATGGTCATTATTATTTTCTTTCACTTCAGTAATTGTAAATTGTATGTTATGTTTTCCCTCATTGTATATTGTGAATTTACTTTAATAAAATTCTATGCATTTGTAAATGTTTATTGTGTTGACACATTTTCATTTTTAGCTCACCATGACAAAGTTGAGATGAGCTTAATCTATATCCCTGCCTTGAGGTTAGGGTCCTAGTTAAAATTTAACAAGTCCTACTTGGATCAAACTTGCATGAATGAAATAACAATACTATGGGTATTATGTGCATTTGGATATTTCATGAAAGGAATATTTGGCAAGTACCTGGTACAAGTAATTTTTCTTATTTGTCCAATCCAAAGAGGAACAAAATATGTTTGTGAAACACTGGTGCCCCCAAATAGGAGCTTATGGCAAGGGTTGTAGTTTCTCAAATGCAAGTCAAACCCCAAGGTCAAAATTGTTGGTATTTAAAGGAAGGTCTTGTTACAAGGAATACACCTGTGAAATATGAAAGCCCTAGTACGAACAGTTCAAAATGTATAGTCAAGGTTTAAGTTTTTTAAAAGTGGGTCAAACTCTAAGGTCAAGGTAAAATATTTTATACCCATTGAAAATTCTTGTCACGATGAATATACATATGAAGTATGCAAGCCTTAGCACCAGCTATTCAAAAGTAAGTGCCAAGGTTAAAGTTCGAAACTTTTGGTAAAAGTGTGTCAAACCCCAAGGTCAAGGTCATGGGATCAATTTAAAAGTTATGGTAAAGGTTAAAGATTTTTAAAAAAGGGGTTAAACTCTAAAATCAAGGTCAAAAGGTCAATATTATACCCATTGAAATGTCTTGTCACTGTGAATATACATGTGAAGTATGAAAGTCCTAGCTGTTCAAAAGTTATGGTCAAGGTTGAAGGAAATTTTTGGGAAAAGTGGGTCAAACTCTAAGGTCATTAAAATTGATATGATACCCAAAGAAAGGTCTTGTCAAAAGGAATAAACCTATGAAATATAAAAGCCATAGCCCCACCCAATCAAGAGTTACATAAATTTTTTGCAGACAGGGTAAAACCTGTATATACCCCCTGAATATTATTTGATTAAAGGGGCAAAAAAATGGACAACAGCAGAAAATATTTCCCATTACAATATAATGATTTTGTTCCACAGCAGATTTAATTTTTAATAAGACAAGAAAACAGGATTAGAATTCTCAATAAGACCTTTCACACGAAGTTCCGGGGGTGATAATCGTTCTGTCTAGCCATCTGTTTTAACTTGCAAGCATATTCTCCGGTAGTGCAGAATAAAGTCGTTCAAACCATGCCCCTGATCTGTTAATGGCCCGAGTGCATCTCCACATTGTGGGAAGGTTTACATACATGCAGCGATGCTTATAGGCACAAGATAAACATATATTCTCCAGAATAGGCCAGGTATCAAAGCCATGTTTAAAATTAGTTAACAAATGTAAGGCCTTAAAAAAATTAATTTCTCAGACCCTCCCTCATCTGTTCCAAGGGTGCCTCATTCACCCTTTTTATTGCTAAATCAATAAAATAACCAGAAGTCTCTGTCGAGACTGAAGCTCTACTGTTTGAACTTATAGCAAAGGAAGAGAAAAGTACTTAAGCAGCTGGGATTTGAAACTTTACAACTTACAGCAAAAAATAGAATAATGATAGTTGATAAAGTCTCTTTATGTTCTTAGTGTAGTCTATTTGTGTGCCAAGTTATATTAAAATCAGACCAAAACTGTGGGAGGGGTAGCATTTTGAAACAATTTTACAGATATTTCTATTTTTAGTAACCACTGCAACACCGTTCATCGAAATCAAAAACCGATACACAGATTTATGTATCTTAGTGTAGTCTACTCGTGTGCCAAGTTATACTGAAATCAGACCTAAACTGTGGGAGGAGTAGCATTTTGAAAGAATTTCACAGAAATTTCTATTTTTAGTAACCACGGCAACACCGTTCATCGAAATCAAAAACCGATACACAGAATTATTTACTTAGTGTATTCTACTTGTGTGCCAAGATATACTGAAATCAGACCAAAACTGTAGGAGAAGTAGCATTTTGAAAGAATTTCATAGAAATTTCTATTTTTAGTAACCACGGCAACAACGTTCATCAAAATCAAAAACGGATACACAGAATTGTGTATCTTAGTGTATTCTACTTGTGTGTCAAGTTATACTGAAATTAGATTAAAACTGTAGGAGAAGTAGCATTTTGAAAGAATTTCACAGAAATTTCTATTTTTAGTAACCACGGCAACACCGTTCATCGAAATCAAAAACTGATATACAGAATTATGTATCTTAGTATATTCTACTTTTGTGCCAGGTTTTGTACAATTTAAAAAGCTGCCTCATCATGTTTTGGGAGCAATTAAAAAGTAAAAAAAAAAATGCCTCCCTCCCTCGTTATATTTCTTGAAAAAAGGCCTGAGAACCAAGGAATTCACTTTGCATGGCCTAATGGTTTGGGTCATGGATATCGGCCTGGATAATAGCTCAGTTGGTAAAGTATCCGACTGGAGATACAGGGGTCCTGCGTTCAATTCCCGGTCCAGCCATACATTTTCTCCCTTCCTGTTATACACATGTTTAAAAAATGCCATCCAGTTAGGAGACTATAGTAAGACTGGTATACATGTATAGTTACAGTATATCGGGTTCTGAGTTGCTCAGTGGATGAGAATCATTGTTTGCCCTTGGACCAGTCACTAGTCCGTCACAAGTTAAGTCCCATTACACCCACTGCATTTTTGAGACTGAGAAAATGCAGATTAAGTTCCTAAATTGTCTAATGAGATTATGACACTCATGACAATAAACACAAACATAAATTGTGCATAAAGTGGTGTCACTTGTTTGATGATAAAAAGACATTGGGAAAGCATGGGTACTGAATACATACTCAGGTGCGGATCCAGAATTTTTTCTAGGGGGGTCCACCCCAGTCCAAAAAAGGGGGGAGTCTATTAATTCTAGTGTTTCAAACCTTCTGCGTTTTCTGAGGGAGGTCCAAGGTAACTTTTTTCTTCCTTTAGTATATAAATTTAATAAACTTGCAAATTCCGGGGGGTCCTGACACCCCCTACCCTCTTCTAGATCCGCGCATGCATTCTATGTTGTTCTGAATCATAATAGATTTCTTTTTTTGATTATTATCATATATTGGGTTATTTTAGCGTGGTGCTAATTTTGGCTTACTGTAGAAGTACTTTTTTTCTGCTTGGTATTAATTTACGCTATGTATGCAGTCACAAATTTTCAGCGGAAATTTATTGTAAATGTAAATAAATGTAAGGCATATAGTGACAGTTTAGGAAATCTGCGTAATTATCTAAACACGGATTCAACAGAAATGAGATTCTGCAGAATTATAACCCCCTGGAAAAAAGTAGGTCTATAGTATTTTAGCTTTTGAAAGTAGCCCGCTAAAATTTTTAATGGCTAAAATATTTGCAACTCTTCTTAGTGTAAATCTGCAAAGAATTAAAACCCTGTGACCGTTAAAATAAATTACGCCAAAATTATTGGCATACCTTTGAGCAGGAAAAACGCCAAATTTGACACCCCCCAAGAAAACTCGCAATACAGTTTTCTTATGTACAAACATGTATTACGGGTCAGGAAGAAGGATAGGCCCAAATTCGAAATTGCACTTTATTTCCCCAAAAGTTAAGATTGTAATAGAAAGAAGGAAGATGCAACCAGACTAGGACTCACACCCCCAGAGTGCCCCCTGAATCTCCAGTCAGGACATAGGTGCTCTACCAAGTTAACTGGTCACCAAGATGAGCCATCTACCAGGTCCCGAAACAGCAACCAAGGCTCTTCTCTGGCACTTCTTTTAATTTGCCTCTCTCCCCTGATTCGCACTTGTGCATGAAGTTGACTCGCATCTGTGCCTACCCGGCCCCCCTCCCAACAGCAACCCCGTCTCATTTCTAGCACTAATTCTTTCTCCTCTTTCTTCAAAGATTTAAATTATACCCGTACACACTGAATCTTAGACTCTACCAACTGTAATCTCTGTGAGATTTATTAAGACCAAATTGTACCGACGTCTTTTCAGACCTAACTTCATGGCCACCTGTGAACAAATCCATCTGACCTGCACACAATTATAATGTCCCTCTCAATGTATTAGGTCTTCTATCAAGGTATGTAAACTGGTTAGTAGTATTTTCTTAGTTTTTTTAATCTTATGGTCAAAATGCGTGAAAATATTCTAGTATTATAATATTAAGCCATGAATGGGATAGAATACAGAAAGTTACAAAAATGAATTGTTAAGGTCTGATATATGTATAGTAAATTTATTAGAACAGGCACCTGAATTCCTAGTATTATCAATCAGTATGAGTATAGGTACAAGGGGAATCAGTACAGGGGATAGAATTTTTCGATATTTGACTTATTGAACTTCTTAGTTCAATAAGTCAAATATCGAAAAATTCTATCTCCTGTAATTGTATATTATAGCGGGGCATAATTTTTCGATATTTGGCTTACTGGGCGACTGGTTGATAAAAATTCTGGTGCCTGTGGTATTGGTCTTCACAAAATTCACAACTGACAGCTGCTTCACATGTGTATGTCACCAGAAAACTTGTCAATAACACTAACAGGTGTTACATGTATTCTCAAATAATTATGAAAATGGCAGTTCTTTAATGACTTTTAAAAAATCTGATAATATCAAAAATAAAACAAAGCAGTCTAAGATAATTAATTTAGTTTTTCACCTTGTTTACCTGTATGGCTTATGTTGTTCTCACCGTACACATGAAAATGAAAGTAGATTTAAACTTCCTGTTATGTATGCGCTTGCGCAGTAGAGAGTTTACATCACGCACATGGACCACCGGTGAATGTCAACTGCGGCAAAAGTCTTATATTTAAAATGACGATCCTTAAAAGATTTTCGAGTATTCTGTATCTTTCACTGAAAAATGGTATTCCGATGCAAAAGGTTTGTACCTTAGACTTGAATCTAAAATAATACAGTTGTTTCATTGTGAAAATGTATTTATGCAACTGTTTCACCAGAATTTCCTCTAAACTGTAATTTACGTAATTCGTTTACAGCTATAGAAATTAAGAGAAATATTGACTTGAAGATTATATGATTATATATTTTTATATCATTTGATATTTATTTTAGTTCACACCTTGCGTGGCATGTGCGGTTAGAAATTACTCTGCACGTAAAACGGGGGTAAGTTTAACAACTTCCATTTTACAACTGTACTTACACTTATCGTTAGGCTACGTCAAAAACTCTCTGCCAAAATAACAAAGTATTGTGCAGATGTTAGTTGACATTAATTGAATAAATTTATATAAGAGTATTTTGTAAAAACAAAGAAAATTAAAAAAAAGATGAAAAAAATATATTATCAGAATTCATAGATTATACACCCAGCCTTCATGTGGTATTCCATCATGACCTTCTTAGAAATATACAGCATATGAATATCATACTACATTTACAGGATGTGACATTAGACTCTTCAATGATAAGAAATATTGGAATCTCTGCTCACATAGACTCTGGCAAAACCACGCTCACAGAACGTCTTCTATATTACACTGGAAAACTGGCAGAAATGCACGAAGTGAGAGGAAGAGACAATGTTGGTGCAAAAATGGACTTTATGGAGCTGGAACGACAGCGCGGAATCACAATTCAATCAGCGGCAACATATGTCAACTGGAAAGGTACAAACATTAACATTATAGACACTCCGGGGCACGTAGATTTTACAGTGGAGGTGGAGCGTGCTTTACGTGTATTGGACGGTGCTGTGCTTGTGCTCTGTGCAGTGGGGGGAGTTCAGAGTCAGACCATTACCGTAAATAGACAGATGAAGAGATATAATGTACCATGTCTGGCTTTCATAAACAAGCTGGATAGATTGGGTTCCAATCCAGTTCGAGTTTTATCACAGCTGAAGTAAGTTTTCTTTTTTCAATTTTAAAAACCTTTCTTTTAATAAAGTCATTTCATCCCATTGCATGTAGTTTGAAAAATGTTGCAAAATTTTCACTGATAGGCCATTGTAATACCTCTTAATTTGTTTTTCTAGGTCCAAATTGAATCACAATGCAGAGTTTGTACAATTACCCATTGGACTGGAGAAAGACCAGGAGGGCATTGTAGATCTCATTGAAATGAAGGCCTTGTACTTTGGAGAGCCATGTGGGTTAGTAGTGTATTCTAATCAAAACTCTGCTCTCTTTCCTGAAATATTGAAATGCTGAAATATAGCATATGACTAACTGGGATCATAATATTACAAAATGCAATTTTTAATAGGTAGAGAGAGACTGTGTTTCAGTTCGAAAACAAAGTAATAAAACACTAGTCAATCAAATAGTTCAGTTCTATATTTTTGATCATGTTAGGTGGATGTAGGCTTGCTGACAATATTAAAGATAGAACTTTGGTTAAAATTAATCAAAATCTTAAAATTAGGCTTGAAAAATATCATTCAAATTGTATCCTGCATATGCTGTTTTTTTTTTGTAGTCTAAATATTATTGAAGATGAAATCCCAGCTCATCTGAGAACTGAGGCCAAAGAGAGAAGACAAAAGCTTATAGGTATGTGATAAATGTACATCCTGGTTTTTGATAAACAATAAACAGCCTGCTGAATAGGAATCATGTTTGGATTGATGATATTTTCTTACATGCAGAAAATGTTAACTTGCTTCCATAATGTGTTTGTCCCTTTTGAATGAAGATATTTAACCTGTAACAGACTTAGATATCCAGTTGAAAGCCCATTTAAGTCAAGTATTAAATATTAGAATTACAGTTAATTCTCGATAAACCGCCACCTTTTGTAATTTAGAAATCATGGCGGTATAACGAATTTGGCGATGAATTGAATTTCCCATCTTTTATAGGAAATAGGAAGTAGAGTTACCGTTCTTAGAAATACCATTTACATGTAGCGTTTCTATTCTTATTAACACATGTATATGTATATAAAAACATATTTCTAAATTTGAAAATACAGCCTACTCCGGATATATTGAAATTCAGGGGACCATGCAAATCATTTCAATATATCCGTAATTCAATATAAGCGAAATCGTGAAGCCGCCATTTTTCAAGTTCAATCCCGATCTAAAATAAAGAAGAACAAACCCGAATAAATTAATTTTGTCATCGTCTACAACAGTGAACAGATTACATGGAATATGAGTCCTTGAAAGTTTAAATATTTTTTTTATTTCTGTTTCATTGAAAAGACAATCTTGAACCTCATTAATTATTATTCCCCGATCACATTTATTTACCTGGTACGTTTTGGAAAAAATTCACCGAACTTAAACGGTTGAGTACTGCTGAACGCTGCTTGCATTTCATCGTAAGTGTACTCGGGCTAATCAATCTCTTAGTTATTTAGAATTTAGGCATATCAATAGCCACCAACAGTACGTATTCAATTTCAAAGTTATGTTTTTTTCCTAGATCTGTGGGAGTAACTATATTACGATTAGATGTTTAGTCGCGATATGTCCGTATCATATATGTGGACACAAAGAATTTAACAGTGAAAAATTTTATTTCGTAAGAGCATGCAGTGTGAAAAAACATAAGGTGAAAACTTAATTATTCACACCTTTGTATATCAACTGGTCAGTCAGGCATAATTTCTGTCACCAACCGTAACGACAGCCGCCAGGAAGTACTTCAATATAACCGTTATGAAAACAACTCATTATCACCTGTGGGGACCGATCAGTGGCTTCAATATAAGCGAAATTTCAATATATCCGATTTCAATATAACCGTTATTTTAATGCAAAGAATATGAGAGGCAAAAACTGAGGATTTATTTCTATTTCAAAATAAGCGGAATTTCAAAATAAGCGAGTTCAATATAAGTGGAGTAAGCTGTACTTCAAGTAATTTTTATATGTACAATTTCGCTAAAACAAAATGTGCAGTTATAAAATAATGATGATTACATGTGTATGCATGTAAATCTGCACATCTGATATCAATAAAAAACATGCTGGGTCGATCGTCATAACTAATATATAGCCGATAGTACATAAAATGAATTCTTGAAAAAATTCATTCTTTATGACATCATTGTTAATGAAAATTTCACAATTTTTACCGTATAATTATTTTTAAGCAAACTTTGCATTGTTTAAATCCGAGATCATCAGAATAATATCGTTATCAGTGTTCTTTAACAACGACCGCTTTCCTGGCGAAGCAGTGACTAAATGATTTTTATTAAACAGAAAACAAAATTATTATAACACTTTACGTTAAATTAATTCTTATTTAATTACTTAATTGCATATACCTCCTCTGGCTTTGCATGCTTTACAACATGGATAGTCTCAACCAATTAGCCGCGCTTCACTGACCACAAGCACCTGTGGCGGTATATCGAGATAATTGACACTTGAAAATGGACGTTTATTTTGAAAACAGGGAGGCAGATGGCGGTATGTGAATTTGGCGTTATAAAGAGAATTTTATATAGCAGGAAAAACGTTCTCGGGAAATCATGGCGGTATTGCAAAAATGGCGATGAATCGAATGGCGATAATTCGAGAATTGACTGTAGTTCTGTTTTAGTCGTGAACTGACAAACTGGATTAAATTTGTGATTACAGAAGCTGTTTCAAATGTTGATGATGAACTTGGAGAGATGTTTCTGGAAGAAAAAGAACCTACAAATGATGATATTAAGGTAGCTATATAACTTTGTAAGGATGCATAAACATATTTGATGCATATGACTTGTTTAGCTTTGAAAAATGTTATAAAGAAAACTTTTTCAATGTTTTGTAATGCTATTTAAAACATGTATCACATCATTGTTTTCATTGACCTCGTTAAGTTTTATGGACCATTCATCCATTCATAAGTAGTATATTGATGGATATGAATGGAAGTATATATATACGTGTATATATCAAAGTTGAATGAAATACTGTAAATTGATGCTTCAATTTTCTTCACTGATCAGGCAGCCATTAGAAGATCCTGCATTAAGCGGGCCTTTACACCTGTATTTATGGGGACAGCTCTGAAGAACAAAGGTGTACAGCCGTTACTAGATGCAGTGGTAGACTACCTCCCCAACCCGACAGAGGTCGAGAATATCTGTCTCAATAATGCAGAGTAAGTTCAGGCAAAAACAGTGGTAATGTAATTATAATTTAGTACAGAAGATAAAGGTATCATTTTTTACACAAATTTAATGACCTATTATATTTTGCAGGTTGGATGAAAACGGAAATCCAACTAAATTTCTGCTAAGCTCAGAGAGAACAACGGAGAACCCATTTGTTGGATTAGCTTTCAAGCTGGAGGTACAAGTTCAAGACATTATTGCTTTAAGCCATATGTCTTATTAGATACATGTAATATTCTTAAAAGGATTTAAAAACTAATAGTTTGTAGTCATATTTTAACATGTAAGTAATGTGGATTTTTTTAATCATTGTATTTTGCAAAACATTTTATGTCTAAAAAATTTATTTATCAGGCTGGAAAGTTTGGTCAGTTGACCTACATGAGAGTTTATCAAGGTGGAATGAAGAAAGGGGACACCATTATTAACACGAGGAACAACAAGAAAGTCCGCGTATCCAGACTGGTTCGGATGAATGCAGATGAAATGGAGGTGAGAGACTGCAGTGCACAAATTTTTGTGATCAGATTTAGATTTACTATAAATAGTTTGATTTTATTGGAAGGTTTGTTTGTGAAAACTGTTGACAGTTGTCATGT